GCTGCTGCTCCCCTGGGAGACCCCAGCACAGTACCATGGCTCAGCTCACCCCGGGGAACTCCAGCCTGGAGCCAGGGCTCAGTCTGGCTCTCCGACCCTGCACCAGAGCAGGACCCATGCGTCCTTCCCTCGATTCCCTCCCTGGGAAGCTCCTGTGCACATAAGGGGCTTTGTCCACACACCCTAACTGGTGCTGCTGAGGGGGACGAGTGGGTACAGCCGGTACCTGTGTGTCCTGCCGGGCAGCTGGAGCAGGGATGCAGCTGGAGTGGGATGCAGCCAGCACGGCCCTGGCTCATGGCTCAGACCCGGAGGCTTGAGCTCTGTTTCCACCAGCACAGTGTCTCCCCAGACACGACCCAGCCAGCCTGGGTGAAAAAATGGGGACAGGAATATGCTAGAAAACACAATCCTCACCGGGCTCCGCAGGCGCTTACCCTGACAGCTCCCCAAAACTGCCTGCTTTCCTGGCAGCACCGGCCTGGATGCTCAGGAACCTATCGGGGGCAAAGTGAGAACCTGGGCTTGGGACACTGGCTGGGTACAGCAGGGCTTGTATGGGATTTGGGAACTGCACTCGACACCTGGATGGCAATGCCCGCAGCACCAGGCGATGCCACCACAAACCCTGTCACGTGCTGGAGCGAGGGGGGACACCTGCTCCCTGCTGGCTGCAGGAACACTGAGGGAGGTGGTGCAGGTTAAAGCCCTGCCATGGTTGCCCGGGGCAGCAAAGGGGTGAACCCTGTGGCAGCCCACAGCTCCCAGCCTGCTCAATGGCACTGGTGTATCATCAGGCCAGTAGCCACGGCATGGCCAGGACTGCAGAGCCCCTGGCCACATGCTGCCAGGCTCACACTGGCACTGGGAAGATCCAGTTCCTTCCTTGGACATTTGGTTCCCTTCTGAGCTCAGGTGCCCTTCCTAGCCTTCCCAACACTGGCACTTCCCCAGGGCTCCCTACACTTTCCTGGCACCCAGCCCCACACCTGCCTGCCAAAACCAGCTGCACCAAAGGTACTAAGACCCCTCCTGGAGGAGCTGCAGTGCCCCTTGGTGCCCCCAGCTCCTCCATGGAAGCCCATTATTCCACAGGTACAGTGCCCCCATGCATGGGAGTCACTGTCCCCATGGGGAGAGCAGCTGGAGAGCCAAGTGACTCTGAATTTCATGGAGGTGCCTGGGGTGCCCTGGCTGCAGCACCCACTGTCCCACCCAGCCCTGGCTGCAGGCCCCAGAGCCATGCTGGCCCAGGGGCAGTGCAAGAAAATCAGCTTTCAAAAGCATTTTCCTATTTGGATGCTGGTCCCCAAGTGGAGGAAGCCGTAGGGCCAGGGCAGTGGAGCCAGCGGGGGCGGCCCATGCTCACTGTCCTAATTAGCCTTTCTTTGTTAACCCCCCCCAACTGCCTGTGACGCTTAAAGAATGACAGATACTAAATCTAATTTAATCTACTCATTCACCCATCACTATAGCACTAAAATAGGAATATACCTATAAAAAGAGCATTGCCAGGCAGTGTGGGCCAAAATCACAGCTATTGTGGGAAAAGCAGCTTTGCAAAGCTAAAATTAATGTCAATGTTTTCAATATATGTATATATATAAAAAGCAGAAAATGTTTCTGGTGGCTTTAAGGCTGGTCCTCACCGAGCAGAGTAGCTGCCACAGCATGGCCAGAGCCGTGAGCCACCGTGCCAGGTCTTGTATCCGTGCGACGCGCGAGCAGGGGGAGAAACCCGGTTTGAATTGAACCCGCTGCTGCAACACACACTGCTCGGAATAGACCTGCTCCCTAAAAATATAACATGCTAAACTTGGCAGCAACCCTCTTGGAAAGGAATTTTCCAAGCAGGATTTGCAGAGGCTGTTTCCCAGCAGGCCGGGCACTGCTCAGCCAAGTCTCCTGCGCCACAGTGTGACCGTGGGCACCAGGGATGTTCCCAGCAAGCAGCAGCTCAGGGGCAGCGTTGCAGTGGGGTTCAGCACACCTGTACATCAACCTGTGCTGGGGCCAGAGCTGCACATGCATCACTGCCTATGCCGGGGTTGCGTTGGGGTCGAGCACTGACTCTGAGGCTCAGAGCCTGGGTCTGTTCTGGGTCAGTGCTGAGCCCTGTCCTGCAGCCATCACCTGCACACTCACAACAGCAGTTTTAGGTAGAGACCGACTCCTCTGTTCACAAAATGAAGCCACCAAAGTGTCCCTTTGCACCAGGTCCTCGCTGAGCAAGAGCCAAATGTCCCCGCCAAGCCCCACCGAAGGATGCAGCATTCCTGAGGGCACGGGCTGCTCCGCCAGGGGCACAGACCCACCCTCCTGCAGCCTCTGGCCCCCCAGGGGCACCACTCTTGGAGCATGTCAGTGCTGGGAGGAATTCCTGGACACAGCACTCAGAATGCTGTGGACCGTGGCTCCTGTGGCCAGGCCAGGGTGGCCACATGGGGGGAGCGGAGCAGAGCGAGCTGCTGGTACCCACAAGTACCTGCAGGCACCTGGATGAGCCACTGGCACTGATGAGCTCTCCCTGGCGCTGGGAGAACTGAAGTTTTCCTGAGAACTTCATTTCTTGATCCTTCCTTCAAGTCCTGGCACTGTGGAGAACACTGGGGCTGGGAGCTATGAAACACAGGTAGCATACTGAGGAACAACTCTAGCCCATGCCACAAACTCCTGGCAGAGAGAGCATTTGTCCAAAGGAATGATGGCAGCTAGTGCATGCAGACCCTGGAGCCTCCCAGCTCCTGACCCCCTGGCCAGTCCAGCAGACTCATTTCCCAGCCAGTGAATCAGTCACGATCACAGTATGTGCCCACCCCAGGTGCCCCACTACAAATCCCCACACCTGGACAGGGAGCTGTAAGTCAGGGGGTCAAAACCAAGCCCCCCACAGACTTCAGGACACAACTAACTTGTGGAGAGTCAGCTGAAGCCCCTGAGGTGTCCCTGCTACACAGGGGTGAGCTGAGCCAGCTGACCAGGGCCAGCTCTGCAGCGGGCACATGCCCACGGGCACAGGCAGCATTGCTCACTCTGTGCTCCTCCGGTGCAGGCAGCACAGGTGGGCACATCCAAAATCCAGAGCAAATTCAGGACTAAAGCAGGTGCCAGGCAGGCCCATTGCTCACCTGAGCAGGATGAGGGGCCTGGTGGAGCCCATGCCCTGTGCCCCTGCCCCATGTGATGGCTGCCAGTGACGTCCCTCTGCCTGATGCCTTGTTGTGACATGCACTGGGAGACACCTGTCCCCAAGCACCGGGTGCAGAACCTCTGTAGGTGACAAACCCCAGGAAAAGGATGGAGATTTTTGCCTCCATTGTGTTCAGCTGGGTGAAAATCCAACTCCAAATCTTGTAATAAAACCCTCCTCCTGGCTCACAAGTCCGGAGATGCTGCCAAGGAGCAGAAGGCTTCTGGGAGAGCAGGGAGGAAGAGATGCAGAACATGATGGTCAAATCAAACCAGGGGGAACCAGGAGACACCGGGGTGCAGAGCCACGCATCTGGGAAAGCTGATGCTTCCCAGGGATCCCCAGCTCCGCTTTGCCCAGCCCTGTGGGCACCAGGAGCCCTCGTCTGCCCACCATGCTGCTGTCCCTGTCACCGTGAGCCGCAGGCAGCACAGCCAATCCACGCCAGAGTGCTCCGCAGGGCAAGAGAGCGGCACAGCTGAGCCCCTCGTGTGGCCAGGGACAAGGGGATCCCGGCCCGAGAGGGACATCTCCCGTGCTGCAACAGAGGCTCCAGGCCCCGTTCTGGCTTCTATTCCAAAGCATCCATGTGCTCCCTTCAGAGGGACAGAAACGACCCTCCGGGACGGGTGGGAGCTCAGGGATGGTTTCTGCTTGGTGTCAGAGGTGCAGCAGCCTCAGGGAACTTGACACAGCCCGGGGAGGCTGAGAGTGAAATCCAGAGCAGCTCTGGCTCTCCCCAGGCTCTGCCTGCAGGAGGGTGCAATAAATCACACACCCGCCTCAGCAGCCCCTGCCGCAGCCCCCGCGCGCCCCGTGCTCGTGTAACCAGCACCAGCTTTGCCAGCCCCATCGCCCACGCACCAGAGAGAGCAACCACGGCCTTGCCATCCCCACCACCAGCGGCCACGCTCCGGCTGCGACCCCACTTGGACACCGGCCATGGACATCCCAAGGGACAAAACACTCCATAGCCCTTCGGGCTGGAGTGGAGGGTTGGCACCAGTGCCTGTCCTTGCCGCCGGGTGAGCCGTGCCGGCCACGCCATGAATTTTTAAACTCCTGAAAGCACAAATGGAGTGGTTTGCCTGGCTGGGAGATGGGATTTCCGATGCAGCAAAGAGGCATTTGAAGAAGATGCTGCCTCTCCCAAACTGCGCTTCCCCCGGGATGACGAGCCTGGAAACCTGGGGCACTGGGTCCAGTGCAGGAATCAGGGCAGCCCCGTGGGACAGCAAAATCCTGGCCAGGGTAAAGGACCAAACTGATGGCCCCGGCACCCTCCATCTGGGCCACCCAAACTTGGGACTCGCCCGGCGCTGTGTCCCCCAGTCCCTCTGCAGCACCTTCTGTGACAGCGAGACAAACCCGGCCTGGCTGCGGGCACGCGCGATGTGACAGCACACACACACACACGTATGTGCACACGCGTGTGCACGCACGAGCTCGTCACCTTCCCTTCTCCCCAGAGGCTGCTCAGGCCGCGCAGGAGCCTCTTTCCTTTATCCGAGCATCCATCATCGCCAAGCGGCAGCAGTGCCGAGGCGGGGAAGCGCTGGACCCGCGCCGGCGGCTCTGCCTGCTGCACTGCCCGCGCCTCAGCCACGCTCCAGCCCCGGCCGCGCTCCCGCCACCTCAGCGGGGAAACCAGAGAAACCCCCCAAAGCCGCAGCTGAGGACCCGGTGCCGCGGGGCTGGAGGGGATAGGCTGGGAGGAACCTGTCAAGCTCTGACCCTCCGCAGAGAGGGAACCAGCCAGAAACACGTGTGAACCGGAAAGCAAGAAAATCCCCTGGAGAGGGTTGCTTACCTGTTGGAGGTAGAGGAAGGCTGGAGGACAGGGGAGAGAGTGAGGAAGCATGCCTGAGTTGGAGACAAGGAGGCAGCCCGAGTTAGCCATGGAGCACAGCATGTGTCGACAGGTAGCCGTGGAGCTGCTCGCGGGTCCGTCCTCTTCCGCACACCGCTATCCACCGCTATCCTCGTCTTCCCGGCTGGCCCCTCGGGCTCTCCCCTCCTCGCCGTCCCTCCCGACCCCTCGGCGCTAGTTAGGAGGGTTCATCTGTGGCAGGCCGGCCGCGCTGCCGCCGGAGCAGCGCTCGGCTCTTCACTTCGGGGCCATTAGACACTGGCACTGAGCGCACGGTCTGCAAAGGGTGTGCGTGAGCCAGAGCGGAGCGGGAGAGAAAGGAAGGGGAGGAGGAAGGAGAGAGGGCTTGGGAGTGAAATAAAAGGGGTGGGAGTTGGAGGAGGAGGGGGAGTCCCCTGTGCATTCAGACATCAAACAGAGCTCTGTATAAAATGAAGAGAATCCGTAATGACATGAGAACAGCTGATCCCGCACTTAACCCCTCCACCGCCGCCGCTCGCAGATGGCTTCCCTGCTGTCCTCGCCGCCCCGGCCACACGCTGGGGAAGCAGCCGGGCAGGATGGGGCCGAGTGGGCAGAGCTGTCTC